CACAGTCAATATAACTGCAGTCATCCTCACAACAGCCATGCGAAGTAGACCAGCATTATTATCCCCATGTTACAGATTGGGAGTGGGTAAAAGGTAAAGGTAAAGGTTCCCTTGCTCGAAAGCCAGTCGAGTCCGACTCTAGGCTCTTCAAAGCCGAAGAGCCAGCGCTGTCCGCAGACGTTTCCGTGGTCATGTGGCCGGCATGACTAAACACCAAGGTGCACGGAACGCTGTTACGTTCCCACCGAAGTGGTACCTATTGATCTACTTGCAATCTCTTGCTTTTGAACTGCTAGGTTGGCAGGAGCTGGAACTAGAGACAGGAGCTCATTCTGTCATGCGGGGTCTTGAACTGCTGAACTACCGACCTTCCACAGCCTGCAGTTCAGCGTCTTAACCACTTGAGCCACCGCAGCTCCATGGGAGTGGGACTGAGGGGAAAAAAATACTTGGGAAGGCCACCTAGAAATTTGAGGCATTGACTTTCCAGACCACAGGATATAGTTTAATAAAGTCAAATACTTTTAATGGCATAGCAGTAAGATACACAGATGTACAATAACACGACATGGATATATAAGACATTATAAGCAATATGAAACAATCCTTTACTAGAATAGATCTATCTTTGACTACTCCGGCAAGAAACTTGGCCACTATAGCTCTAATATTAGGATTAGCATCCTTTAGTAGATTTTGAATAACGTTTTCCCTATTAGAACTATAATTAGGAGGAAATAAAGATGACAACAATTCTTTGCGTAAGACTGAGTGAAATTGACAGCCAAAAATAATATGATATATTGAGTCCACAGATCTTAAAGGACAAGAACATAACCTTTCATGAAAGGGAATTTTCTTAGACCGACCTGAAAGCTCTTTTGAAGGGAACACATTTAGACTTGACTTGACATTTAGTCAGGCTAGTGTAAAGGCTCTACGGTGCAAAGGCTGGACTAAGTTGTGAAGATAGTGGGCTATCTGGCCATAATGAATTGGGAGATTCAACTGAGCCTGAGAAAATATGCTAAATTGTGCAGGACATAAGACTTGAAGTTCCAGGTAAAGCAGTCTCCATTTAATAATCTGGAAAATAGAGACTTCATCCAATGAGTAAAAGGTAAAGGTTCCCTTGCTTGAAAGCCAGTCGAGTCCGACTCTAGGGTTGCGGTGCTCATCTCCGTTTCAAAGCCGAAGAGCCAGCGCTGTCCGAAGACGTTTCCATGGTCATGTGGCCGGCATGACTAAACACCAAGGCGCACGGAACGCTGTTACCTTCCCACAAATTTAAAAGTCAATAACCAACATTTAGTAATTATAAAATGTTGGCCTAATTCCAAACAAAGAGAGGAATATGGGACGCAGAGATGTCAAGAAATTGGCGATAAATACAGGCCTGTAGTCTTTCAAGATTGTTATGAAAGCCTGTTATCCAAACGGGAATTCCATATAATAGTTGGAAGAGAATTTTAATTTCAAAGATCTTTATGGCGCCCGGTAAATATTGATTCCCTTTGGAATAAAAGAATTGTTTAAGGTCTGAAACAGATAGTTTAACTAAAGAAATATTACAGGATCTATGGATTGACCATTTAAGGATCAACCCATAGATATAGTTTAATATAGTTTAAAAGAATTCAGTCTGAGATTTTTACATGGTTACGATGATAATCTTCTAAAAAACTGATTTATGCAATAGTCAAATGTAGGCTCGCTCACAGCTTTAATGCTAGCAGCTCTTTTGGTTCACAAAGTAGAATTTTTGCTCACAACACTCCACAGCTTAGAGGGAACATTGTTTTCCTCTAAGGTTGTTCTCCGTGGCCTTGCTTCTTGATGTTCCTGTCTTCTGAGGCCCAGCACTGTCAAGTCACAGCTGACCTATGGTGACCCCGGAGGGCTTTCAAGGCAAGAGACATTCAGAGGTGGTTTGCCACTGCCTGCCTCCAGGTCTCAGTCCAGGACTTCTCTGGTGGTCTCCCATCCACATACTAACTAGGACCAACCCTGTTTAGCTTCCAAGATTTGACAAGATCAGGCTAGCCTGGACTACCCAGGTCAGGGCTTTTTCTGTGGTGGCACCCAATTAGATTGCCCTGCCCAAGGTAATTTTCAAGAGACGGGGGGAAAGAAGAGGGGGCCCACCATGAATCAAGCCCTGTGCTGCCCCCAGCCAGCGTTAATGTACCTTTAAGAGTAGTTGCACCTGGGAATTGGAGTCCACAGTTAGGGGTCCCAGAAGCTTCCCTCCGACTGGCTCATTAAGAGTAATTTCCTGAGCTCAGAGGCGCAAAGATAAGAGTTTTATTGTTCTTTTCCATTTCTTTGTCCATCAACCCTTACTGCAAGGAGAGGGGAAGCCCATCTCTTTCCTCACCACGGCCATAGGATTGACCAAGATCAGAAAGATGTAACCCTCTATCCGGTTGTCAGCTCGATCCCATCACGTAATTGAATTCAACTCTGAAAACTCTCTCAGGGCCAGCGTCCAGACAAGCCCTGAGAATATGCAAGTAAAACCAGGCCTGTTGGGCAGGTTAGATTTCCAACCGCTTATGTGCATAACTGTACTTGAGTTGCATGTTTTTGTTTGTGCTTAGCAGGGCTATTTTTGGGCAGGAACGCACAGGAACAGAGTTCCGGCTGGCTCCCGAGTTGGCCACGCCCAGCAGGAACTCATTATCATAACAGGCCACACCTAACAGCAGAAACTCATTAGGATTGGCTACCTTAGGGGTGTGTGGCCTAACATGCAAAGGAGTTCCTGCTACAAAAAAGCCCTGGGTTTTGACAACAAACAAGGTAAACAGAATAACAAGCAAAAGGTGGGTGTGGCTGGATAACCACACTTCTGGTAACATGGGGGTGCGGCCTAATGTGCTAATGAGCTGTGCTGTCAGGGGTGTGGCCTAATATGCTAATGAGTTTCTGCTGTTGGGTGTGGCCTATTATGTTAATGAGTTCCTGCTGGGCTTCTTCTACAAAGAGCCCTGGTGCTTAGCATTGTTAAAAAAAAGTTCTGTCATTGTCCTTTAAGAGGCTGTCTGCTTGAATGACTATAAGTCACTTAAGATAGAAAAAAGTTTATTTGAAAATTATTTCAATGCATTTTCTTGATATACTCTGCGCCTATTGTCATGGTATTTGCCAGTCTCACTGATGATTAAGAACACTTTCCCTCCTGCACTGTGATGCATGGAAAACATTCCCACGTGGTGCACCAAAGAATGAAAGGCACTCGGACCATCTCTCGGGAGCTCCTGGCACTTTGGGGCAGAAGTTTCAATTGGGGCTGGCATCAGGGGTTGGCGGGCATAATTTACACACGTGCTGAAAACCAAGCCTGATGGAGGACCCAGTGATCCGGGCACTGGATGGAGCTCCTACTCCCAAACAGGGAAAATGCCCAGAGGCACCCAGCTTAACATGAACATAAGAGAAGCCATGTTGGATCAGGCCAATGGCCCATCCTGTCCAACACTCCGTGTCACACAATGGCCCAAAGCCAGGTGCCATCAGGAGGTCCACCAGTGGGGCCAGAACTCCAGAAGCCCTCCCACTGTTGCCCGCCAAGCACCAAGAATACAGAGCATTATGTGCATTACTCTGTACTTGCCCACGCTGAACCCCACTTGCCATGTTGATGCCCACTCACTTGCTCAGCCTCCATGGGGCCCCAAAGCCCTGTTCCTATGCGACAAACACCTCTTCCTCATTCCCTCCATTGTTCCTGTCCTGCACTCTGCCAGCAGGGCCAGTCAGGTCTCCTTAGGTGGTACCAGACCCTCGGCCCGGGAGCTGGCCAGGCTCTGCACCGGTTGATCCAGCAAGTTTCCCCTTCCCAGCTGAGAGGGAAGCCGCTCCAGGGACTCATCTTGTCCAGGTTTAACTGGGGTCAGAATCCTGCAAAAGACTGCATCCCCTGGGGGCGTGATCTGGCCCAGGAGGTGGAGAACGGGCTGCCAGCATGGCACGGTGTCTCTGATGGGCTATCTTGGCGTGAGTCTGCTGTCTCTGCTGGGTGGAGGTGGATCCTGGTGAACTTATGGACCAAGTCCTGGACTGGTATTTAGTTGCCCCAGGATCGGGGGGGAGGCGGGGGGGGGGGAACAGAGGGAAGTTCTGGTGAGGGAACTCCACCTGCAGGCTCCTCAGGGGCAACCTCTGGAACAGATGGGCCAGGGGCATTTACGATGCGGGGGTCTCCTGGAGTTCCCTGCTCTTCCCCAGACCGTGGTTCTAGCTCAGGGTTTCAAGAGCCTAAACCTGCCAGCACCCCCAAATCCTCTTTTTAAATCCAATCCCCTTTTGAATCCATAAACAGCAGGTCAAAGCCAGGCTTTCATCCTGCATAGCTTTGAATGGCCAAAGGGGTGGGGGCTAAACCACAGATCGGGGGAGACCACCCTGACAAAGGGCACGCATTACATATCGGGAGTCGTTTTGTGGTGCCCAGTCCCCTCTTCACACGGCAAATGGCACAAGAGTAGTTACACTCAGTAAAAGCCACATATAGCTGTGCACTTTGTTCCATCATTGGTTCAGGAGTCTCCCTGCATCCATTAAATTAGGCTGGCCTGGCTTACACAGTGCTAGTAGTGAAGGAGGAGGAGGAGGAGGAGAAAAAGAAGGAGGAGGAGGAGGAGAAGGAGGAGAAGAAGGAGGAGGAGAAGAAGGAGAAGAAGAAGAAGAGGAGGAGGAGGAGATTGGATTTATAGCTTGCCCTTCACTACCCAAGGGAGTCTCAGAGCGGCTTACAAACTCCTTCCCCTTCCCCTCCCCACAACAGACACCCTGTGAGGTAAAAGAAGAAGAAGAGGAGATTGGGTTTATACCCCACCCTTCACTACCCAAGGGAATCTCAGAGCGGCTTACAAACTCCTTTCCCTTCCCCTCCCCACAACACAGCAGGTGGGGCTGAGAGAGCTCTGAGGGAAACGGCTCTTTTTCAAGAACAGCTCTTATCAGAGCTACGGCTTGCCCAAGGTCATCCAGCCAGGTGCAAGTGGAGGAGTGGGGAATCAAACCCGGTTCTCCCAGATTAGAGTACGCGCAATTCACCACTACACCAGCCCTCAGACTGCCACATCTCCAGACAACGGGGGAATAGTTCTACCAATGGCCATTAGCTATGACAGCAAGAAAGCAGTACCTCTCAGAATGCCAGATAATAAGGGGTACAAAGAGCTGGAAGGATCTGGCTGTCCTCTGTGGAAACAGGTGCAAAGTCATCTCAGCCCTTTCTCTGCCATCCTGGAATGGTGCTCCGTAGCCAGCTACTCAGCTTGGAAGCAATCGTTTTTAGGTGAGGCGAAAGCGGCTAGGCATCCCATGCAAGACTCCCTCTAAGCTGTGGAGTCTTGTGAGCAAAAGTTCTGCTTTGTAAGCTGCTGGCATTAAAGTTGTGAGCGAGCGATTTGGCTACTACCTAAATTAGTTTGCTCTGGAGTCATCCTGCCTGAGCTAAGGCAAAAATGTGTGAGCCGGTGGCTAAAAAACTGTGAGCTAGCTCACTCGTACTCAGCTTAGAGGAAACACTGATCCCATGGTGTGAGTGTAAAAGGTAAAGGTAAAGGTTCCCTTGCTCAAAAGCCAGTCGAATCCGACTCTAGGGTTGCGGTGCTCATCTCCGTTTCCAAGCCGAAGAGCCAGCACTGTCCAAAGACGTTTCCATGGTCATGTGGCCGGCATGACTAAATACCAAGGCGCACGGAACGCTGTTCCCTTCCCACCGAAGCGGTACCTATTTATCTACTTGCAATTTCTTGCTTTCGAACTGCTAGGCTGTGAGTGTACCTTCAAGCAATTCCTCTCCCAAACTGGTAGGCACTCCCTGAAAATTAATCAACGATGCATCCCTTTTACTTCCCTCCCGGGATCCTTTCAAATTGCCACAAAAGAGCACTTACCAAGTTCAAACTAAGCCGCTTATCCCTGCTTCTTAAGGAATTTTCTTCCATGTCAGCTGCAAAATAAAAAAAAAGGCCAACACTTAGGGATCTTACGAATAAACAAAAACTGAGAAGCATAAAAGAGGGAGGAAGACCTGGAGGAATAATTCTTGCATACAGCACGTGGCTTGAAGGAAATTATAATTCTGTCCAACTTGAAGAATGATCGGCAGCTATGCCAGAAATGGGTGGAGGGTCTCACTTCGGGAAGGGCTCAAGTCTATCACGCCGCCTTTTCTTCACTATAATAGTCACTTTGTACGATTGGAACAAAATCATAAACAGGATAGTAGGAAGCTCTGGCTGGTCGTAGCAAAATTCCCAACGCGACAATACCAATATAATATCTTTTTATTAGGACTAATGAAAATATCACAAAATAGTAAACTTTTGATATACTCTTTCTGAGATATTTGAAAGCTACTCATGATGACTTTGTGATGTTTTTGTTTGGTCCTAATAAACTAGGTAGGAGAAGAACTGGGAAACCTCAGGAGATACACAAATGCAACACGATCCTGTGGGCAAGCAGGGAACAAGACAAAACTGCTTCCAAAAAGGGTTGAACCCAAAGGAGATAACCTGAACAGAAACTGCCTTGTAGTAATCATATTTCATACATTCTAAAACCTGTTCTTGTTCACTTCAGGGATATATGCTGTTGATCAGATGCCTGTGTAACAAGACCAACATCAAAAGGAATCTAAACCAACAGAGAGGATAAGAATTATACTATGGCTGAAGGGGTCAAAAACAGGACATTCAATGATTATACCTTCAACTTGATGAAAGCCACAAAACAAGTTTTTGAACCCGTGGAACTCAAAGTGTACTTTGTCACTATTACAGCCTGTACATGTGACGTGCTTTGTTATTCACTATGTTGGCTTACATAAAAACCCATACTATATATTGATCTTTTTCGTATAAGGGTTGATTCTCCAGCATGCTGTCAGTCTTGTTAAACGGGTTTTGCTGTCAGTATCAGGGCTCTTTTTGTAGAAAAAGCCCAGCAGGAACTCATTAGCATAATAGGCCACACCCAACACCAGGAACTCATTAGCATATTGGGCCACACCCCTGACAGCACAGCTCATTACCACATTAGGCCACACCCCCATGTTACCAGAAGTGTGGTTATCCAGCCACACCCACTTTTTGCTTCTTATTCTGTTTACCTTGTTTGTTGTCAAAACCCAGGGCCTTTTTTTGTAGCAGGAACTCCTTTGCATGTTAGGCCACACACCCCTAATGTAGCCAATCCTAATGAGTTCCTGCTCTTGGGTGTGGCCTATTATGCTAATGAGTTCCTGCTGGGCGTGGCCAACTTGGGAGCCAGCCGGAACTGCGTTCCTGTGCGTTCCTGCCCCAAAATAGCCCTGAGTGTTGTTACATGGGGTTCTTTGAGATCCTTGTACTGAAGCGCATGTCAAAACGTTGCGTGTAACTTGGCCCAGAAGACAGGGTTCTCTTAGCACTTCTGAGGCACAGAAAACGTATGTAACCAGTTAGTGAGAAATTGACTGAAGTTGCCTTATCACTTTGCATTGTGTCATCTGGTCAGCAGCAGCTCTCTGGGCTCGGACAGAGAAAGGCTTTTCCCGACACGAGCCGCCTGGGCTCATTAGCTTGGAAATGCCAGAGATGAAAGCTGGGTCCTTCTGTGGGTGTTCTACCACTGAATCATGGTCCCTTCTCATAGGAAGCCGTCTTAGACCAAGTCGAACCACTTGTCCATCGAGCTCAGCACAGTCTGCTCTCCAAGATCTTTCCCAGAAATTCTCCAGGTAGTTTTTCCCACCCCAGAAACCTGAAATCCTTTTTATAGAAGTTGTGCTCTTGACTGCGGTTGACTGAAGCACTTAATTGGCCTTGTAACAAAAAGACACTTGGGGGGGGGGGGGGAGTGCCAGCCATACATCAGGGCTATTTTTGGGCAGGAACGCACAGGAACGGAGTTCCGGCTGGCTTCAGAGTTGGCCACGCCCACTGCAGCCAAAACCTCTGTGTGCGTGGCTACAGAGGGAAGGCTTGGAGGGTGCCCCCCCCCTGTGACTCCGAGGTGGGTGGGCCGGGGGGGGGGCTGGCCCTGGAAGAATCAGGGAAGCATTTAAATGCCTCCCCGTGCCTTCCCCGTCCCGTCCAAGGGCCAGCTTGCCTGGGCTCCCTGCAGCTGTGGGGTGCCCGGGCAAGCCAAGGGAAGGCACGGGGGTGTGGCCTAATATGCTAATGAGCTGTGCTGGCAGGGGTGTGGCCTGATATGCTGATGCGTTCCTGCTGTTGGGTGTGGCCTATTATGCTAATGAGTTCCTGTTTTTTTTTAAATACAAAAAAAGCCCTGCCAGTCATCATATGCTACGGAAGCTGAACAATTCAAGTTATTAATTCATTGCTGCCCCCTGGCAGGACGTAAGCAATTCTGCATCATATTTACAGGATCTGATGTTTGGTCCTCTGAATAGGTTACTGCGTACCTTTCAATCTTATTGGACTCCAAGGCAGCCCTGTAGCTAAGGACTTGTTAGGGAGGGGGCCTGGGGCCCCCGCCTGCTAATCCAATCAAAGGCTCCAGGGCAAGGGCTGCAGCAGCCACAGCCTCTGGGTCCAGCTCCCCCCCCAAGGAGCCCCACTGCACAGCACCAGGGAAAGCCTCTGAAATCACTGCCCTTGTCCTCCCTGCCAACAGGCTGACAGGCAATCAGGGGGAGTTGGGGTAGGGGAGCCGAGGCTCAGGAAGGGGGCCCATAAAACCTGCTGGGGGGCTAGGCCCCGCGGCTCCCGCGTTAGCTACGGGCCTGCTGCAAGGGTAAGCTAAATCAAAGCTTAAAAGCAATATAAAACCATCATAGCTTTTAAAAAGGTTAGATTCTGCAGAACTATTCCGTGACTGGAGGCATTCTCCTTAGGGTTGCTAGCCCCTTGGTACGAGCTGGGGATCCCCTGCCCCCACCTTCTTTTACCCATCACCACTCTGAGTGTCAGCAGGAGTGGGGGGAAATGGCCATCAGGCCAACGGTGTGACATGACTTCCAGGAGGAACCCAGAAATGACATGGCATCCACCAGGAGAATGGGAGGGTGTAGAGCCTCTCTAGGAATTGCAAAAAATAAACCTCTATGGTTTTACCATAGATTTTTCTGTGATTCCTACAGAAGCATGACTCCACTTCAGGGTTTTCCTCAGAAGTGACATCAGACCATTAGTTTAATAGCCACTGTGCATGCCCTACCCTCCTTCTGGTGCTTCCCAGGCTAACTTTCCTCAAGTGGACAGCGTCATGCCCTGACGCAAGAGGCTCAGAGTAGAGGAAAACACCACAGCGAGTAAAATAGATCGATGGGAAGCAAGCCAAAACCTACTATAAAACTCACTTTAAAATGGCAACAAGAGTTTTAAGCAGCAAATCCCAGCAGTAACTTCTACTAACATTACAATCAGAAGCCCCCCACCCCTTTTTTTTGGTTTTCAAAATTTTATTTAATTAAAGCAATGCAAACATGCATACTGAAAGATATATTACATAAGAACATAAGAGATGCCAATGTTGGATCAGGCCAAAGGCCCATCCAGTCCAACACTCTGTATCACACAGTGGCCAGAAATACCAGTGCCATCAGGAGGTCCACCAGTGGGGCCAGGACATTAGAAGCCCTCCCACTGTTGACCCCCCCAAGCACCAAGATGACAGAGCATCACTTGCCCCAGAGTTCCTATCTATACCTTGTGGCTAATAGCCACTGATGGACCTCTGCTCCATATGCTTATCTAATTTCAATCAATTTCAACTCAGTATCTGTATATTGCACATAACTAGTCTTGTACTCAGTCTAATCTACTTTTCACTTCTAAAACTTATATGATAAGAGCTCAGCCTAAACACCTGTGAATCAAAAATTCCAGATAGTTGGTCTCAGGCAAACTATTGAGTTCTATCATTCAGCAGTAATCTGCATTTGGGTCTACCACTTTAAAACTTTAAAGGTTTCCCACTGGCTTTCATACATACATACATACAATATATCTTACTCCAAAGAACTAAAAGTAGCACTCACAGATCTCATCTTTGCCCAACATGCATGGTTCACACGTACAGGAGAATGAGGTTGTTATGAGTTGGTAGGGAGCACTGTATCACTTCCAACTGCACATGGTAGATTCCAGCTTTCAATGTTCCCTCGTGTAAAAATGTCATGCAGTCAAAAACTAGCATAGCAGGAGAAAGGGTCTACAACATCCAGCCCCTCATGTGCACTCCCAAACTGAAGTGCTGGTTATTTCTCTGCCACTGGGAGCAAAGTGGAGCATTCCAAAATGAGATCTTCTATCTGCAATCTGAAACACCTCTACCACTGCTGCCTCTGCCACTTCATCCTCCTGCATGTGTGAACCAGGCACAAGCATCTGGTAAGAGGGGCAAGATGGTATCTGTGCTGATTAGTCCTTCAACATGGACTAAGGGGAATAAGGGGAGATATGATAGAGGGCTACAAAATTATGCATGGTGTGGAGACAGTGGACAGGGAGAAGCTTTCTCCCTCCCTTATAATACCAGAAACTGGAGTCATCCAGTGATGGGTGGGAGATCCAGGACAGTCAGAAGAAAGTACTTCTTCACAGAGAGCATAGTTAAACTGTGGAACTCACTGCCACAGGATGTGGCGATGTGGGGAAATATTTGGCTGAAGATCTTACTTCTCTGGACAAACTGCTCCTTGATAGACAAAGGCCTCATTGTATTCCCCCCCCCCAATTTCTTGATCACTCTCTGTGAGCAACCAGGTATTGTACAAGCAAACCAAGATCTCCATTTGGATGTTTAAAATGAAATCAAACAAGTGTTCTTTGAAATGTAATGGGGAGCAATTTAATTGGTGGCTGCCACTGAAGGCAATGGGCTTAGAAAGCTCTGACTTTACTTAGGATTGCACTGTAAAGTTCCACTTTTTTTCTACCCATAGGTGTGACTAAAGTTTTCTGGATCAGTGCCAATACCTTCACAGTTTGAAAGTTAATA